ATCAAGGAAACATTCTGGGGCAAATGTAAGATTTTCCATGAGATTTTGAGCTAAAATATGAGATCTCAAAGAAATGTTTTCTAGGCAACTGGATACTCCAAGTATGTCCCCAACACCCCCAGCGCAGGCATGAACTGCTATTTGGCTGCTTGAGCAGGGAACTGGAAAAAATAGTTACATAGTTCATGTCTCCAGGATTTCATGATGCCGTAATCCGGGTTTAGATGACAGAGAAGGTCTGTTTAAGGTGGCAGATGGTGGGTGGCTGGTTGGGGGACTTCTCCACTCTCTAAGAAATTTCCCATCCTCTCCAAAGAAGCTACTAAAACTTTGATATGTGGGAATGAGATGAGGGCAGGAGAAAAAGGAAGGGGAATGATATCCAAATGGAGCTTGTGTTGGCCAGAAAGCAGGGGATATGGCACTGGCCTGTGGTTCCAGAACAATGTTGGTAATAAATGATACACTCAAATAGGGTGATCACCACAATAGGCCAGAATGGAGAAGAAAAGGAGCAATTGCTGGAGGTCTAGCTGTAGGTAGAGGATCATAGCTATGGCCAACCCAGAGCTGGTTGGGAGGAAGGTGAGAGACCTCATTCTCCTCCCACACTCAGATCTCCTGCCAGAACCTCCCATTGGTGGAACTCCACCAGAAGCCAAAAGCTAAGGTAGCTGGTTGATGCTGCCCTCATACGTCGTCCTCCCAGGGCAGAGTAGGGTGAAGGGTGGAGGGAAATGGAAGGTGCTAGCACTCAGTAAGAGGAGAGAATTGGATCCTGTTGAGGAACCTTATCTACAGAGGCCTTCCCCTGAGGCCTGTTCACCAGCCATGTTCCATTTCTTCCAGGAGTTAGAAAATCTCATCAACGAGGCCATTCACATCCAGATCAAGTGCCTGAAAGAGCTGCTTCAGTATGAGATACAGACAACTTTTGATATTTTGGACCTGAAACTTCAGAAGAAGACTTTAAATCTCAATGCTCCTATCCCTTTCCCACTCTCCATCAGTGGCCAGCTAGGCCAAGATGAATCTCTTAAGATCAACAAAGCACGCAAAGCAAAGAAAGCAAAAGGCAAGAAGGAATCTAAAGACTGATTGAGGAACAATCATTGACGATTATGGAAGTATTAGGTATTATGCTCAGCACCCAATAGGTCAGTGATTTCTAGTGATTAAAAGAAATGTCACAACACCCATCATCTTATCTCTATCTTCTTTCTGGAAACCATCTTCTACTACCTGAAAATCTAACCCAAATAAAAAGGCTGTTCTCTGCCAAGCACAGAGCTTTGTGCCTGGTGGGCAAGCAAACAGCCCCTCCTTACTAAGCCTGAGTCTAGACACTGAAGACAGAACCACCACCAGTGGGTTGAAGCAGGTAAGAGTAGGGGTGACACCAGACACCAAGAAGGACTTCTAGGGGACACACTGGTTCTGTTGCTCGCATGGGGAGAACAGGTCCTAGGATTCTGTGGCCTTTCTGAGACAGGTACACAGAGTAGACCACTCTACATGCAGCCTGCTCTACATGTGCTGGTCTCCCTGCTGGAGGAGCCTGGTGCCTCTAGAGAACTCTTCCTTCTGAAAAAATCCACTCTGTTTAGACTGAGTCAGGGGAGCAAGCTCTGTCTTAGAGATCAGAGATCAGGTTTCAAACCCAGCTCTGCTGCTGGTCTGCTGTGTGACCTCGCCAGTGTCCTTTCTGTCTCAGGGCCCCAGCTCTCTCTTCTATCAAGTGGGAGAGTTCCGGGCTGGTGTCGAAGGTCCATCTTCCTTAGAAGATAGATGAAGCAAGGTTTGCTATTTCCATTTGTCAAGGGGGTTCAAGGTTCAAGGAGAAGTGAAGTATTTACTCAAAGTCACTCAGCGAGGCAATGAAACAACCAGGATTAGAACTCAGGCTTCCAGACTCATTCATGTGCTCTTTCCCCTGCAACATTGTGCCACGTGTAAACAGTCACACAAATCCTGTAACTGTTGGCTATTGCAGACATATAATTGACAGGTGAATGGGCCCCAGAGATCATGGCAGAAAGGACGTTACCTCTCATTGACTCTTCCCAGGCCAGTGACCTGCTGTCACCTCTGCCGTCCACCCCATGCTCCTTGCTCACAATGGGACGGGCCACAGTGCAGCTCTCCCTGTCATTTTCACGTCTGTCTCTCCATGACCACAGCTGCTTTCTAGGTCTTGCCACCGAAGATGTGCCTGGGTCTCTGTTTCCAGGCAAAGCCAGCCTGCTTTTGGAGGCCAGGCTGAACTTAGGTAGAAAGAGGGAGCCCCGGGAGGGCATGTCACCAGCCCTGGGGCCCTCTGAGAAAATCCCAGGAGACAGGAACTCTGGCCTGGAAAGGGCCTCACCGGGAACACTACCCCAGGCTCTCTCTCTCCATCTTACCTTGATGCCATAGTGAGGATAATTTATACCTGAGACATTTTATAAGCTTCCCAATACCTCTTTGGACAGAAGAAGGAGGTTCCAGGTTTTCCTTAAATTTTTCATCTCTTCATTCATTCACTTATGTATTTATCCTTCACTCCACAGGAATTTTTTAACATCCATATCTACTGAAACTGCCAGGGCCCAGAGGGAAGTGTGAGAGCTGCCATCCTATCCTGTCCAGGCCCGACCAGGATCCCCAAACACCCATGCAGCTGTGTATGTGTTTGTGTGCACATATGTGCAAGCATGTGTGTGTGTTTGGGGGATGCAGAAGGGGCAAGTGGGTACTGCTCCATGTTTAGGCCATATGCTGGGGACGACCCCCCACCCCCATGCTGAAGCAGGACATAATCAGACACCCCGGCCAACCAAGGAACAAACCAGGCTATGAGCACTGCTATTGTGTCCAAAAGACATTGGAAGTATCGGTTGACGATAGGCTGGGGCAATTCAGTACAAAGGGATTGCAGCTCCCTCTTGCCTTGCTTTACTTCCAAGTTGAGGGAGGTTCAACCATCCCATCCACACCCACACCCCGCATCCCAGCCTTGCCTTGCCACTGACTAGAGAGATCCTCAGGACCCCCAAGGCTTTAAACCTTTTCAGATTCAGGCCATTTGTATCCAGAACTGTGGACAATGGACTACTGACACTGCTCTCCTCGCTGGACCTGACCCTTCCCAGAAGGACTCCTACCATGGGTGCCTCCAGTCACCACCCCATGGGTAGAACCCCAGTGTGGCCAGGGCCATCCTCCTAGCACCAACCAAGTGTCTAATAAGGGGGCTAAGGGGTAATGCAGAAGCTGTGAGGGGGGAGAAGGTGGTTCCTGAAGTTGTGTGTCCACATAGTCAGCTTGAAAGACCCACCCCCTCATTTCATCCTTAGGGGTGGCTTTCCCTAACCTGGAAGGGTTGGGGTTGGAGTTAGGGTTTCAGCCACATAGTAGGTACAGTTGTTAAATAATGTTTGGGAAGTGAAGGAAGAATGAGTGAGTGAATGAATGAATGAATGAATGCAAATTTTAAGAAAATCATGGAACTCCCTTCCTCTGTTCACAAAAATATTGGGAAGCTTATCAAACTTCTCAGGTGTTAGACACTCCTCCCTGTGAAGGACCTGCCAAGGGCGAAAGTAGGGTTGATGGAAGTAAGAGCCTGCCTTGCCCTTAAGGTACTGTCCTAAACAAGATCTCCCCATTTAGCGAGGGAGACCAACACCTCTATGCCCAGCTGATTTCCATAGTCACCTGGTGTCATCTGCCCAAGGACAAACAAGGGAAGCCTGGGGGCTTGGTGTCTGAGGAGGAGGAGGGAAACCCTAAACCCCAAGGCCTTTCCAGTCCAGGAGCAAACCAAAGGGCTTTGGAAAAGTTTAATTCCAAGCACAGGTCCCTGCGCAGGCTTGAGAAGCTGCTGTTCCCCTTCAGCTCCTCCCCAATTATCTAGTTGTCCTGGTTACAGAACTTGTTAAATGTCTGCTTCACATGGAGCTGAGTTGCGCTTATGAAGGACCTGGGAATGGGGAAGTCGCAAGGAACCAGAAATGAGGAGGGAAGCCACAGCGACGAGTGGATCCAAGGCTTCCGCAGAAACAGGGGTGGGGGCCTCAAGCCCTCTACACCAGGGGAGCTAAAACTGAGCCTTCTCTATCAAGGTTAGAACAGAGAATGGGAGGGCCCCCTGGGAAAGCCCCTCCCACTGCCCCACCTGAGGAAACAGCACTAAGCAGCCTTCTGTAGCAACTTGTGGATGACCCCAGGTCTACTGTGGGAGGGCAGTCCCACCTGTGCCCCACTCTTAGGCAGGCGTGGATGCTGACACCAGGTGTGGAAACCCCAAACTGAGAAAATGCCCTAAAATCAGGCTAAGATTGGAGCATCCCTTAGAGACCGAGGATAAAGTGCCCCATTGGTGAGGTGACCATACCTGCTGGTTGACTCCTATTGTCCCTGTGTCCTGCCTAGTTTGTCATTGCTTAAGGGAATCCAATTAAGAATTGGATAGGACTGGTAGCCCTCCACTTGTACTTCCAGCTTCCCCCAAGATTGCTTCTCTTGGTGTGTGCGTCACATGCGCAGTGAGCAAATTTTCACCTCAACTCAAGGCTAAATGCAAAAGATGATGAGGGCCGACTTGCCTGTCCTTCCCCACCCTTTCCTGACTCAGTGTTACCCTCTCAGGGGCAATGCATGCAACTGTCCTTGAGATGGTGAAATGCATGCAGATATAGCAACTAATGAGAGTTAGTTTCCCCTCTGGAGTGATGCTAAGGGACAAACAGTATTGCTGTTCTGCCAGTTGTGCCATGGCCTGCAAATGTATGAAGCCACCGGGTCAGCAGGGAAAGGTGGGAGTGACAAGTGAGGGTATACACATGATGTGCAGGAGCTCAAAGGCAGGCTTCTTGCTAATGGGCTCAGACAGTGGTGGGAGCAGCCTTGCTGCAGACAGTGCCATTTACTGTACAGTGTGAATCTGCAATTATTTATCTTGGTGTTTGCTATGGCATTTTCATTTTTCAATAACCCTCAGTAGCAATGACTTCGACAAAAAAAAGGAAAGTGCAAGAGTAATGAAAATGTAAGTTATCTTGACTTTCTCTTCTTCAAGAAAAGTAATAATGAAACTGTAACATGTAAAATGGTTCCCTGTGTTTACCATCCCCCTGAGAATCATAGTGATGCCAATCCTAATATATAAAAAGCCAGGGGTCGTCACAACCAAAACAACTGGATGGATGACCAAACAGCAGGCTGCGTGGGGCAACCAGGCTGGCAGGGGGGTTAGTGAGGGACAAC